GGAAATCGAGCGCAACACCCGTCGATCGATCATCCGCTAATTAACAGCCGTAGTTAAGGTACTCGGACAGCGGACAGGTGAGCCGCGTTGCCAGGACAGCGACACTGAACGAACATCCTTGGCCAGACCAGTTATCGCTCCGGCTCTTGGAAAGCTCCTTTGGTCTGGCACGTTGCCTGGTTTCCCTTCTCAATTGGCAGAGAATCCCTTGAACTTTGGAGGAGGATCAGCCTTTCAGCTCTTTGTTGTTGATCGTTGTTTTCTGACCCAGGAAGAAGAGAGGTAGAGAAATCAAGCTCACACACGGGAACGTGAAACGTCGTCTTCGGAGAGTGTATCTGTCGGCTATCCGGGAAGTCAAAATAAGTGACTCGTTCGAAGGGAAAGAAAGCGCAGGACGGTGTCGTCTGCTCCACAAGGTTCACCAGACACTTTATTATCTGCAGACCCCTCCGCATCACCGGGTCAATGCGATCGTGATCTTATCGTCTAATGCGACTCGTGACGCGTCGACGTTTAACCGTGGTCGTGGTTCAGCAATCAGTCAAGAATATCTCTGCCCAGGACCGTGCCTCTCTGCTGTTTGTATTGATCATATATATATATATATATATTTCCTTTTTATTTCTTCCTTTCTAGACCCCGGTACTTGGCGAGTGATTAATCCTGAAACTTCAGGATTCACGCGTTTCCTCCTAGCAATCGGTTTCTCCATTGTTACCCAATCGGCCCGGAAGTGAACGTCCTGGCGGATAACGTTGACAAGATATATTTGATAACGATGACAAGAGTCTCGGATCTCAAACGTCACTTGTTGAATACATACACATATAGAGAGATGATTACAGGTCATAAGAGGATTATGAAGTGGTATTTATATCGGGCCGTCGTTTTTCCCACCGAGCAGTCTCTCAATTGGGCGTTCTACTAGCACACTGAAAAAAGGAAAAAAAAAGTGGGAATTCATCCAAAAGATTACACGATCCATTAACAGATAACAAATATACCAAAAAAAAAAAAAGAAAAAAAGAGCACGTGGAGTAGTAAGTTCAACTCCGTATTGACTATCTTCATTGAGCTTCCAACTTTTAAGTTCAATGACAATTGTACAAGGTATCTGGCTCTGTAAGCCGCTAGAGTGTGCAAAGTGATAGTTGCTTTGTACAGCTGGTCGTTGAACGTCATCGCGCTCGTGGGAGTCGGATAAGAAGAGTAGTACGGTCAGTGTAAACAGCAGCCGACAGAGGCTAGAAAAAGAAAGAGAAAGAGGGTCCTTCGGTGGCGGAGGGTTGCTGCAGATTTATACGCAAAAACCGTGGGCGTGCGAGTCAATTTTGCTTTTCTACGTCGTGTGCGACAGACAGACAGATTTAAACGGGATCACTGACGGACCCCGGCTGGCGGGGGTTAACATCATCGGGACGGCAGACGTCAGGATGCCGGAGCAGAGCAACGATTATCGCGTGGTTGTGTTTGGGGCGGGCGGTGTCGGCAAGAGCTCTCTCGTGCTGCGTTTCGTGCAAGGAACGTTTCGTGAGTCCTATATACCCACTATCGAAGACACGTATAAACAGGTAAGCCTGAAAACACATGTGAACCGACATATTTCGTACGGCGTGTCCCAGTAATCGTATGGTGCAATTGGGACGATTCTGTGTCCGAGAAGAATTAAGTTGAAAAACTGTAAGATAAAATGTTTCCTTTCCTAGGAAGGGAAACATTTCCGTTTCCGTGTAAATGAAATTCGAAGATTTATACTGAACGATTTTTATCCAACTATGCTTTCAGAAACGAGGTCTTCGACGAACAAATTTTGCTCGACTTACTTTCACGTGTGAAACAACTTTTAGTTGTTAACTTTGGTTTCTCTTCATTTTTTTTTTTTTCTTCACGTAGAATCATCCCAATTTGTTGATAGATTGTACCATGATTGCTTGGAATATATAGTGAGCTTTGAATATATAGTGAGCTATATAGTGAGCTTTTACCCCATGTATAATATTTTACCCTTAATATTTTGATTAGTATTTTACCCTTAATATTCACTTTCTTTTCTCTTTTCTTTTTCTCTTTTTCTTATTAAATGCAAGATCTTGAGGTGAAATTTTGGCCAGGAAATATGTGTCGTTCATAATTTTTTTAAAGTCATTAGTAGAAAAGTAGAATACGTTTAGAATATCTATAACAAATGTAGACTATCATTAGACATTTATGTGTGGACAATTCAAAAAAGAAATATTAATATAATTGAAGGCAATATGAATACTCGAAATTAATCAAAATTAGAAATCCTGTTTCAAAATTATCAATTATTTTCTAATATACATAATGTACATTTCAAATTTAAATTCATTATACATATTTCAAATTCATGATGCAATCGCGCGGAGTCGATCGAGATATCGATCGCGCGTGAATTTCACGTTTGTAAAACCACAATACCTTCAATACAAATTTCAGTACAAGTTTCTCTACAGAGAATTTATTCATTTATTTAATTACATTAATAATTGATACAGTCGATACACGACTAAACTACGTGCTTGCAACTTTTGCAAAAAAATGAGATAAATTCATTTCGAAATGAACAGGGAATCGATTCGATTTCAGCCTCGAAGACATCTTATTTAGCTTTGTTATTCCATTTCATGCTGCTATTGTCGCTCGAATCGACTTTTCGATTTCGTGTATCGACGCTGTTGTACCGTTCGATAATTAACAGCGCGAGTAGTATAGAGCCGGATTGGACGGCCGACGCAAGTAGTAGAGATATGTCGTGTACGAAACGGTGGTAATAGATTCCTCCGATCAGATAAGCAGCAGGGACAGTAGTGACGTAAATTGCTGACGCTTCGATGATTCATACATGATGCAAGATCATTGGCTCTAATCGTTCATCTCACAACCGAATCGTTATCTCGTTTTGTAATCGCGAGATTCACGTGGAATAAACGATCGACTTTTCTCTCTTTGCTTTTTATTCGCGTTTCAAATTCACGGTTCTTAACCGAGCAAATAAGGTTAGGTCAGTGATATAATTCGAATACGTTTCAATTCAAATTAAGTTATCCCTTTTATTATTTCGTAATTAATGCAATTCAACGTTTTAAACTTTCTTCCCCTCTGAATAGATTTTAAAACGTGAATAAGAGTTTTTGTTTTGTCGTTGTATCGCATTGATCGCTGTATCGATTGTCGATATGTCGCTTGTTTAAGTGTTGAGTTTCTTGGTAATTGAATTTAATGTTTCAAAGTGATTGTTTAAAAAAAAAAAACACTTAATTTAAAGTCGTGGTTTTTTTGTATTATGTTAATTTTGCAGCAAATGAGCGACACACACACACACACACGTAATATGCAGATAAGTAATATAGTAATATAGATATAGATCGCGCTGCAATCAAGATTGTGCGATTAATCGATATTGATATATTGATATATTTATAACATATTCACAAGATTTACATATTTTATTCACAAGATTTACATATTTATGTCGTATTTATAATTACAATATTTATATATTTATATCATATTTATAATTCATATTATCGATCACATTTCATTTGAAACAATAATTCCGGTTCCTAATGTCGAGCAATCGATTGTCAATCGTGATTGCGGTTGATCTAACCTAGAATCCCTAATCGATTGATGCAACGTCAGTTTCAAGCGCAATGCAAAGCCCTGCTGAGTTCTATCTGCTGAAACTAACGAGGAGGTGTGTTTCGAAACGGGGGACGAAAAAAAAA